AAAAATTTTGTTTTAATCTAGCTCTATTCTAAGTATTTTTAAATTTAATAAAACGAGTAAACACGATTATGGCGAAGATTTTATATATATATATATAATTGTATGTAAAATGTCATATACTTCGATAATACACTGAATGGTAATATTGACACAAAAAGTTTAATTATATGATAATATTCAACGAATTAATGGCGTTGTGTTGGCCTATAATCTTAGGCCCAGTCGACGACTCGCCGATCCCACCAAACGAGAGCACCGGACGGTTGGTCGCAATGAGGTGGTAATAGTGCCAAATACGTGGCCGCATCGGCCCCTTCGTCGGGACTCCTGTGCCCCCGGTGGCCGTTAAGGTCGGTGGGAACTACACCCGGATTTACGGCGTTGGCTACAATGCGACGATCGGTGCCGTCGGCGTCGAGTTGGCGCTGTTGGACGCGCGTCAACGCCGTGACAAACACTTTGGACGCGATGTACGTGGATTTGGGCCAACCCTTAGCCACGTGCCGGCCCTCACGCGCGTCCGTCACGTACTCGTCGGCCAACGCCATGAGCTGTTCGTCCGACAGGTCGGGCGCCAAAAATCTTCGCCGCAGACCGTCATCTATAGGGGAGAGGGAGAGGGAGTGTGTCGTCATATACTGTATATATATATCGTAACACTTGATTATTACGCAGCTGTCTGTCTGCGCTTAATAACCCGGCTGTTCACTGCGTGATCACATGACTGACCGGTAATAGACGTGAGCACACCGTAAGTGGAGGTGAGGTTCACGAGTCGGCCATTCGGTCGCATAATTGGCAAAAGGCGGCGACAGAGTCGACGCGTGCCGTAGAAGTTGGTGCCCATTGTGCGCGACGCCTGTTCGCCGACCGCCGTTTGCGTGCCGTATCCGTAGGCGATCGCCGCGCTGTTCACCAGCACATCGACACCGGAGTAGTTGTCGCGCAGATAACCCGTCAACTCTTCGACCGACTCGGCGTCCGTGATGTCCAACCGATGGTAAATAGGGTTAAGTCCGGCGCCGCTGAGGGCCTCGACGGCCGCTTTTCCGCGGTCACAGTCCCGCGCGGTTAGTATGACGTCGCCGTCGAACTCATTGCCGCATAGGTTTCGGACGATCGCCAAACCGATGCCTTTGTTAGCGCCGGTCACCACTGCCACCCGTTTTACCATCGCTTTCCGGGAATGCTATATATATTTAGTCAGAGGTTTAGAAGTAATTAAATATCATTTTAATCGCTCATACTTTTGTGTATTGAGTGTAATTCGGTATTTATTATGAACGGCTTTACAGAGGCTGGGATTAGGCTGACCAGACGTCCAGCTCCGGGCTGTATTGATCCGTTTTGATCCTCAATGTCAGCGCCCAGTCCACTATGAAAACTGGAAACGTTTAATAAGATAATTGTTAAGTAACTTATGTTAAAGACAAAGGTCAGGGTTAAACATTTTATTTTACTAATTTCTATTCAAATACATAATAGGAGAGTTTTTATTAATTTAAAAATTTATTATTTATTTTTAAAAATTCAAAAATATATAGGATTTTGGAAGTAGGTTAAATAAGTGCGATGCTCAACAATCTTAGTTATAAATACTGGGCAATGGTTATTTTTGTATCTTTAAAAGTTGTCTAGCTCTACAAAAATATTATCTGGTAAATTTAGTTTGGACGCCTACTGAATCACACAATTCAATGCATATAAAACAATAAATAGGATGTTAAATATTAACGTTATGTTACCGGAAAGTTAAAAATATTGATTAATAATGTAGACACCAGGTCTATAAAGTTGTCATTAAGTAGCATATATTTTATTTGGCAAAATTTATGTCCATTTATTCCGTCTTATATGCACTCAAATGTAACACCTTTTCTATTGTGGCAATTGAACGTTACATGTTTTAAATGCTCGAGTATATGATAAGCAGAATTATTTTTTAGATATTATTTGAAAATATAATTATCATTATTCTCAAATGTACTCAAATTAATAATATGGTGTTGCAAAACAATTTTCAGTTTTAAGGACTTGTTTGAGTTGCCACTTGCTTACGACAAACATTTGGATAGGATTTGCAAAACACCCAAAAATTATGGCCCGGTTTATACTCTACCCTTAAAAGTATACTCTTATATAAAAGTAAATATTTTTGTGTTCACTGTATTAATGTGGACCAAAGCTTAGATAGGTCTTGGGTCATTTGACCTAGCAGTCATTTGACCTACAAATATTCAAAATTGCACTTTTACCCTCATGCAACTCAGGAACAAAAAATAAACTTTTTCAAAAAAAATCATAAAGTACGTCTTTATATATCTACGTTATTTATGGACGAATTTAATTTTAAACGTTATTTTCGAATTCCTTACTTAACCTAACCTAAAAATGTTTGCATCCATAAATAACGTGTTTGAATTTCTAGGTCAAATGACCGAATACCGGTTACATATACCCTAGCAGAATACAAATATGTACTATACATTGCGCTAATATATTTGACGTAATTTATATGAGATGATTAAATACATTTACAAAAATCTAAATGGTATTGGATGAAAACTCAAGTTTTTGTGTGTATAAATGTTATCAAGTAATAAATAAATTTCATGTAATTTTCGTCCATAGCTTCAAAATGTTTATTAAATTTCAGATATTACAAGCAATTGAATTCTTAAATTAGATATAAATAATTTGAAATGAAAATAATTTTATGTGGACCATTGATTAATAACACCTGTATCATTTTAGTAATGATTGGTCAATTAGATACAATACACAATGAGCTATTTATTAGCATTTTTACTAGAAATAAATTTTTCAATTTGAACCCTGGGATTGTAAACTCATTGCTTGATTAATACTGAATAAAACAAATTTTGTTTATACCATATTAAACTAAAAGGTCAATTTTGCCTAAACTGTGTCTATTTTGTGGCCATATTGACTAATCCAGTATTGTTTACGGGAGGACTCAGGGTATATGCTGAGTAGCCCAGATTAGCAAGCGAATTGACCAGGCACATCGAGTTACAACTGCCAGCTAAAG